GGCGTATGCACCCATCCTGGGTTCAGGATGGGCCTGGCCAGAATCGGTGTATGTGCATAGTTCTTTTTCCTCTAGGATCTTGGGCCATCAGGGCCTCTCTGATTGTCGCGCCCAGCCCCTCTCCACATCCACACCGAAGGCACGGACTTTCTCGCCTGCTCTGGGCAGGGCTGACGAGGGCAGGGAGGGTCAGCCACGCGCAGAGGGTGGTAGGGGGAAGGGAGACGGCTTTTTAGAAACACCCCTGCTTCTCAGAAGGCGCGGGCCTCATCTATAAGCGAAAGGCCGGCGCCTTCTAAGGAGCAGTTTCCTACTAGAAGCCTTCCCCCCTCCCCCTACCCCCCTTCTGCGCGCCGCCGACTTGGATCTTTTCGGCAGTCGAGGAACAACAAAAGGTATATATACATATTTTCGGAGGTCCGCGCGGTCCTCCGAAAGTTTATGTTTTCTGCCATTATTTGTCCCTCGATTTCGGATTCTTGCGGCAGGCTCGTGCCGTGTCGACTCGGGGGCGACCTTGCCGCGGGCAATCATGGTTGAACGCAGCCAGTGGCCCAGAATCGGCCAACGTGTAGCCATCTGGCGATCGGAAAGCAGCCGCTCGTTCAGGGTTGAACGATCTCACGCGGTGTCAGAAACCAACGCCAGGGTCGTCACCACACGAGCCTGCCGTCTTCTCCCCCCAGGGTATGGGGGCATGGGTCCGAGGAGGAAACGTACCCATACCGCTGACCGTACCTCGTTTTCACCTCCTTGGGTCTCCTGACCCCTCGTCGCCACCGCTGGATGCGCGTCGACATTCCCCGTTAGAAACGCAGCCCTGGAGAGGTCCAGGGAGTACGCGGATCGGTGCATTCTTGCTCCCCCAGCTGTCGGATCCCCATTCTCTTCTCTGGGTATGGGGGCATGGCTCCTGCAGCAGTTCGTGGGAGCCTTGTGTGTCCTCGTGGTTCCGTCCTCGGAGTGCATGCGCGCGCGGTAGCGTCAGGTGATCGAGTGGAAAGCGCTGATTCAGCGTCGATTCGCGTCGATTTCTCGGCGATCAGCGCTGAGCAGCGTCGATCAGCGTCGGTGGGTGCCGAGTCGCAGGTGCCAGCAGGGTTAGGGCGAAGAGAGCCATGCACATGCACCGATCTTGGCCAGGCCCATCCTGGGCCCAGGATCGGGGCCTGCGTCCTCCTGCCCAGAGGTGGTGTCGGAGGCCCCCAGGAGTTGCCGCAGAAGAGGGGGGGGGTGCATACGGGGGGGGCAGGGAGGCCGAGGACGGGGACGCGAGGGCACGGCTCGGCCCGCGCGCGCCTGCTCGGGGGCCTGCCCATCCTCGACCCCCCCTTCGCGCGCGTCGGCCGCGGCCTCCGCCCGAGCACCCATCGCTTGCGCGGGAGCTGGAGAGTGCTCTCTCGTGCTCTCCCTTCTCCGCGCGGAGGAGGAGGAGGAGGAGGAGGAGGAGGAGGAGGAGGAGGAGGAGGAGGAGGAGGAGGAGGAGGAGGAGGAGGAGGAGGAGGAGGAGGAGGAGGAGCTTGGGGGACTGACAGCAGCAGTGGAGGCGTGCAGGGCGCTGAGAGGTCTGCCCCCCCCCCCCTGGCCGCCCTCGGGGCCGGGCCATCCGTCCACGGGCCGAGCAGGGCCACCACATGGCCGCAGATGCGCTGCTGCAGCTGGGCGGCTGATCCGGCCAGCGGCCTCCCCGCCGCCGCCGCCGCGCCTCGCTGCCGCCGCGCGGCCGCCGAGACGCTGCCGCAGGCTGGGCGGCTGGCCGGCCGGGGGCTTGTTCGCCGCCGCAGCGCATACTCGCGCCCGCGCCAGCCGAGGCGGGATCAAGTCAGGGCTGATCGGGCCGGGCCCTCGCGGCCCCGTTGTCGACGTCGGCGCCGGCCCCCCGGAGGCATCGGCGCCCTCGCGGGCCCGAGCAGGCGACGCCGAAAAAGAAGCATCCGCTCATCGAGCGCGCGCGCATCTTCTCGATGCCGTCGTATGATTTCTCCACCCGAGACCCTTCCTGCAGGTTGTTGCATCGGCTGCTTTTTTTTCTCAGTTCCACATGTCCTGGGAAATCCCGCCCTGCGTCTTCGACGGATGTCGACTGCCCACCGCGGCCGCCAGGCCCCAGCGGCCCCGTGCTCCCCGGGGATGCCGCCTCGCGTTCTCGAGCGGGGATCGCTCCAGGCAGAGCGTTTTCTCAACGCGCGGGAGGTCCAGGCAGTCGATCGGGGGGGCATCGGCTGCTTTTTTTTCTCAGTTCCAGAGTAAAGAGAATGATGCTGATGATGAGGAGGATGATGATGCTGCTGCTGCTGATGCTGCTGCTGATGAGGATAAGGGTAAGGATGATGCTGCTGATGATGATGGTGGTATGCTGATGATGATGAGGATGCTGATGCTGATGCTGATGCTGATGCTGATGCTGGTGATGCTGATGATGATAATGATGATGATGATGATGATGATGATGATGATGATGATGATGATGATGATGACGATGATGATCATGATGAGGATG